TGTGAGTATTTGTATGTTGTGTGTATTTGTATGTTGTTTTTGGAGTATTGTCATGGTGTGGACTTTGATTATTTTGACCTAGGTTTATTTTACTATAATGGTTGTAGTTTGAGTTTGCTTCCTGTCTCATGTTGATGGTTTGCCCCGCCCTCTTAGATCACCTTCCATCCACCCATTCTCTTCCGCTTCATCCGTTGCCAGGTCGCAGGGGCATCAGTCTAGACGTCCAGACTTCCCTATCCTCACACACTTCCTCCAGCTTATCCGAGGGGACCTTAAGGCGTTCCCAGGCCAGCCGAGAGACATAGTCCCTCCAGCGTGTCCTGGGTCTTCCTCGGGGCCTCCTCCCGGTGGGATGGGCCCAGAACACCTCCCCAGTTAGGCGTCCCGAACATAAGTCTGAGCCACCTCAACTGGTTCCTCTCGACATGGAGAAGCAATGGCTCTACTCCGAGCTCCTCCCGTGTGACTGAGCTCCTCACTCATGGATCTCCTGTGTGTCTTTATTTTCTGTGCTCTTCCTCTATTGTCTTTCCCACATTTGTTTCTGGCTCGTTATCAGTTCTGGATTTCTTTCATTTGATCACACATGACACGTATGGTCTAAATGGTTGTATTTACACATTTAGCAACGGGACAAACACCTCAACTCTGGCTTTGAAAAAACATATTTGAAGCGCAGTGGGGCTAATAATAATAATAATACAATCGTTAGAATCCTGTTTCCACGGTCAGGTTGAGGTCGGTTCAGTTCAATGTTTTGCACGACACCTGTAATTGTATAAACGTGTAAAGTGAGGAGCAGCTGCAAGGTCTTCCAACTCCTGCAGCTGCTCAGTCCTTCGCTGGATCCAGCCCACTCCCAACAAGGTGTCCCCGCGATGGGCCAGAGCCGGCGCTGAAAGACACGGGGCTCCAGATCTCAGGCCAAAGCTCCCCGCGCTCATCAGTCCACGGAACACTCAGAGACGACTGCCAACGGTCCTTTTGGCCCCGGATCAGTCCCACACACGGGTCTCTTCAGGAGGCACTTATTTTGTATTTTGCATCACATCCATCATCTTCTCTTGCACATTCTTCTTACTGACTGTTGGTAATGGATTAAGGCAGTCACTCAGCAGCGCTCTTTACTCAGAGAATGTGAGGTATGTTTCAATGTGAGATGCATTATACAATTCTGATCGCCAATATTTGTTTTACTATAACCTTGACTTGAATTGTGTAGAAGTATAAATACAAGTGTGTATAGAAAAGAACCTGAAAAATGACTATTAGTATGTATAAAAAAATAAATCTGCAGCTTTACAGAAAACCTTCCAAAGTATAGGTGTGAAGGTGAAATATGGATAATTCTGATTCATATACTTTAAAACCTGAAAACGCATTTTTTGTCCGAACATTTGTATCATATTTTTGTGAACTCAGACATCGGCATCATTCTTCTTCTACTTCATCTGTTGCCGTGTCATGCAGGCTGCAGAGTTCTCCTGCTCATCTGGGGACTCCCGTGCTAACCCTCCAGCATTGGTCTTCCCCAGGGACATTATAACAAAATAATAACAAATAACAGTCTTATTTAAAATCTTCCTTTTGTATCTAAAATCCATGAAAACTTTATAGCTAAAAAACCGCCCCCTACAGGTCGATTTTATATTTGAAATATTTCCATCAGGATTCAGAGCTCATCATGGCACTGAAACAGCACTAGTCAAAGTCACATGACTCACTCCTGCTTCAGTGCTGGTCCTACTGGACTCAGCATTTGACACAAAGCCCGCCGCATTCCACTGCAGAGAATGTGACATCACTCGGAGGAACTGCACTTGCATCATCTACAAAAAGCTTCCGACTCGTCCAAAATACAGCAGCAGGGAAATAAACAGGCACCAAAAAGACGGAGCACATAACTCCAGTGTTAAAATAACTCCACTGGGGTATTGCAAGTGACAAAGTAAATAGTCTCATTAGCATTTTTAATAGCCAAAATCAATCCAGAATATTTATTCAACAGGTTTGGCCCTTGTCCCGCTATATAAGTGTACTTAGTGAACTTGTATAATAGTCATTTCAAGAAATGTTATGAAGATTTTTTTTTTTACTGAGCCTTTACCTTTCTACTCTTACAACTTCATTACACATTGAGCCAAAGCAAATGTATTTATTTGTGATCACCTGTTACTTACAAGTGTATTAAAAACAATGATCATCATTTATGGATTGAATTAACATTTATGGACATTGGTTTCTGCCCCTTATGGACCAATGGCTCCATGTGTTTTTTTATCATTGCATTTCCTGTGCTGCAACTGTTTGATTCTCTGATCTGTTTTGCCGAACTGACAGCTTTGTAAAGTTCTCCGAGATTACTGCTGTTGCGATTTAGGGCGACACAAAAAAAATATTGAAAGGAATTGATTTGAATTGATTCTCATATGAATGAATGAGAAGGTTTGGGCACCCCTGGATTACACTAGGTTCTCGCTGTCGGAATACCGTCACATTTCTTAAAGACTTTCCAGGACCTGCTTAAAGACTTTCCAGGGCCTGCCTAAAGACTTTCCAGGACCTGCTTAAAGACTTTCCAGGGCCTGCTTAGATAAATGTCTGTTTGGTCAAAGTATAGCAGAGTAACAAGTTCTCTGCAGCGGTCTAAGAGGAGGTTAAGTGGCCGTCGCTCTCCGTGCTTCTGCAACAGTTTAACGGTGATCCCACAATAACAACAGTAACGCTGTCGCAGACACTCAGCTCTTTTATGGAGCCAGGCCCGGGCCCCTGGGAGCCCCTGGGAGCCCCACCGCGTCACCCAGGCAAAGGCAGACCCCATAGTTCTGGCTGCACCTCCTGATTTATGGGTGTTTTCAGCTTGTTACAGCAGATTTATCTACACAATAAAAAAGAACAATAATCTGCAGAAATCATTAAGGGGAGCAGGAGAAGGAGGAGGTGCTCGGTGATAAAGTGCGGCCACAAGAAAGAGCTTTGAACTGTCACAGAACCACTTCTATAACGTACGCGCTCATACCGTCGGTATGTATGGCTTTTTGTTTCATGTGAGGGCATAGTGCGTCGATGTGGAGCGAGTGGAAGGGATTTTTTTTGTGAGATTAAATACCAAATATATATTCTTATACCTTTGCAAATTCCCCTTTTTCTCAGCAATCGTTAAAAGATAAAAAAAAAAAAAAATAGATAAAATTATTCTGACATTAATCCCATGGCGTCTGGCACTTTTTCAATTGAAAAACAGGTACCACAGCTTTAAAACCACAAGACAAACATAGAATAAGATCATCAAGAGTAGTATAGAGTCTTTCCTTTTACATAACGGTCCGTGCATTTCTCTCTCTACATCATAGGTGTCAAAGTCAAGGCCCAGGGGCCAGATGCGACCCAAGATTGAATTATCTTGGCCTCTAGGATGATATTTGATTAGATTTGGCCGCACAGAGACATAAGAACATATTTGATTATTCATTTGATGTTCAGGATGTGTGTTTTCTCTTTGAAGGAAGTTTTTTTTTAGGTATGAATGAAATGAAAGAGTGAATGGATGGGGTTTGGTCGGAGGCTTTGATGGTCCAGTGTGTTCGGCGACTCGCTTCCGTCATCACCGTGTGTGGAGAGAAGGGAAACTATCTTGACTCTGAACATTGTAAAGCACTTTGGGTGACCTTGTTCTGTAAAATGCGCTGCATAAATAAACCTAACTTACTTACTTGTTTTTGTCTGTGAGCTGTTGACAAATGTTTTCACTTGAAATGACCGACAGAGCCGTACAAATATATTGGATTAATCATTTATCCATTGAATAAAATATGGTCCACTGTCTTAGTTCAATCTGTTGTATACATCATTTTAATATGTTTTAATAAACATTGAACCTGTCCGGCCCTCGGCTTGTAGCAAATTAGTTTTTTTGGCCTCGGATGTGCTCTACATCATTACAAACATCATTACAGCCTGTGCCCAAACCGAGAACATAAACTGTCTGGACATTACACAAGAATCTATGTGGTGTATGTGGAATACCAGGTTGTTTGATGTAATCCTATCATTTCAAATATATGAACTGCAACTTTAAAGCACACCACAGACTCGTCTCATGGTCTTTTTCTTCAAGTCAGATTCAGTTGATTTGTTATTCACAAGAAAAAAAACACATTTGAATAAGTGAGCATAAGTCAAGTACATGAATTAAACAAGCTAAAAAAAAAAGAAACAAGAGACACATTTTCACTGTGAACTGGCAGCTCACAGTCCTCTTTTTAGAGCGGAGCACATCTCTCCTGTCTCTATCTCTGGTTTCTCTTTGGTCTCTCTCTCTGGTTTTTCTCTCTGGTCTCTCTCTGGTCTCTCTCTCTGGTCTCTCTCTAGTCTCTCTCTGGTCTCTCTCTGGTCTCTCTCTGGTGTCTCTCTGGTGTCTCTCTGGCCTCTCTCTGGTCTTCCTTTCTGGTCTCTCTCTGATCTCTCTTTGGTCCCTCTCCCTGGTCTCTTTCTCTGGTCTCTCTCTGGTCTCTCTCTGGCCTCTCTCTGGTCTCTTACTCTGGTCTTCCTCTCTGGTCTCTCTCTGATCTCTCTTTGGTCCCTCTCCCTGGTCTCTTTCTCTGGTCTCTCTCTGGTCTCACAACTCACAGTTCTCACTCAGAGCAACTTGTTCAGAGCTCTCCTTACTTTGTCTGTGATGTCACCGAATCACAGAGTTACAAAACCAACAAGAAAACTGTTTATGGTTAAATGGTATAAAAGTTCATTTCAATTTTAAGAGTTTGTGGTGAATTCTCTACGCGAGGCTGGTCCTGTGCCTTCAGGACATAGGACCTGGACCAAAACTTGCAAAGCTGATTTCTTCTTCATATAGAAAAATGTACATAACACGCTACAGTTATTGCATTAAGTGACGAGCTACAGTTATTTGTTATGTAAAAATGTTATGTAAAAATGTACATAACACGCTACAGTTATTGCATTAAGTGACGAGCTACAGTTATTTTAAGCCTCACGCCCTCCTTCGGCACTTTTGACCGGTCCAAGAATCTTCCTGGGAAGTAGGCGATGAATCTTAAAGTGGAGCCGTTAGCATAGTCTAGTGATGAAGACTGATGGGCCTGCTGGTGCTGAAGTGCCAGAAGTCTCTCCCAAACAAGCCGTTCCCAACAGATGAGCCGAGGGGTCCAGGACGTCTTCATTCCTCAGCAGATGTAAGGATCCCTTCACATTTGCCGTGGCGTGGCGCTCCCTGATGACCCGAACAGCAGGGCCTCTCCTTAAGCAGGCTTGACCGGCCCACAGTCACACACGCAGCGGTCAGGCACTGGCCGTGGGGATCCGAGATGTGACAGGATAATCAATTTCCATGATCTATGACGCCTGGCGAAAAGAAGGCGCGCTGAGAAAGACGGCAGCTGAAAGCGGAGAGCGGAGCAGGAATGCTGACAAGGGCCGAGGCTTTGCAGCAGTTGTAGTACGACTCGGTTTCAAAGCTCCTCTGTGTGTACGGGAAATCCTCCAGAATACATTACAATTATGAGATGGTTTATTGATCCTGGTGGGGACGTTCCCTTCACTGAGACGAGACGAGATGATGACACATGTGAGAAGAAGCTTGAAGCTACAACTAGGTCTCAAACATCTCTAGTGTAGCCTCCTATGGACAGGTGTTGCAAATTAGCAGTTTTGCTATAACACTGGAAACAATGTATCTGGTTTGTCCAATGCAGTTGATATGTCCATATCAAATAAACTAATAATAATAAAAACACATTCGTAGGAGAGTATTAACATTACTGTTTCTAAAAGATTGAAGCCACTGGGAACGCAATAAAACACATGTTGCTATTCAGCCGTGTTTCCACCATCACTCTCTATTCTACCTTGATTGAGAGAGTTTCTACTGGCCTTGTTGACCCTACACTGCAAAAAGTGATGAAAAAAAGGAATTTGGCAAAATGTGTCTGAAATTGAATACATTCTGACTGCCTAAAAACAAGATTTACCAATGGGACAAAGCAAAATGATCTTGTTTTAAAAAGATACTTAGAATGAGAAAATGAAGCAACAGTTCTTGAAAAAAGACTTATTGGCTTTGTCCCATTGGAGAACCTTGTTTTAATAGAGTCACAATGTGCTCAGATTAATATAAAAACTACTCAATTCAAGTGATTATTACCTCACATTATATGATTGGTTTACTGTGTCACCCAAACCCATACATGTTTTCCTTTTAAGTATCAAACCGACCTACACTGTTTTTAATGGCATTTCTATCCCCACTTATTCTTTTTAACAAGGAAAATCCATTTGACTCTTGTATTGTCTTTTCCAAGGGCCTTTCCAGGTCTTTCAGACGGGTAACCTACATGTACAGTACGTGTGGTTCTGATCCTAGTGGCTGCAGTTTCCTCAAATCCCCTCCGACCATTCAGCGAGCAGGGGAGTCGGGTGTTGTAGGTCGGTGTCGGTGACGGCAAGAGTTTGCTCTGAATCGGCTGGTTGTAGTTTGGCAATGGCGGAAAATGAGTAATCCGTTCTGGTTCGGCCCCAAATATCGAGAAATTGAAGCTGGAGCAAAAAGAATGTTTAGAAAATGTCATTGCTGCAAAGATGTTGAGGCTCTACTCCCCACAGGCTCTGTTAGTGGCAAAGGAGATGGCTAAAGCTAGGCTAAATGCTAAAGCTAGGCTAAATGCCTCATCCATGTCTTTTATAGAGGAGTCTGTAGCAGTGTGTGAGCCGCCGTGTGGCTACAGCGGGCCATCTCAGTGGTGGGCCCATGAAACCACAGGGAGGTGTGAAAGTGACCCAGGTGCTGGTGCTGAGACCTGCAAAGTTTTAAGTATCACAAAAGTAACATGAGTTGGAACCAGCAATTATAGAAGTGGAATTTGTAAATGTATCTTTATTGTTCTCATAGCCATAGGTACATAGTAAAGGTACATTTCCAAAACTAATTTATTGGCAACACTTGTTTTAAAAGGCAGAAAACTGATCTGAGCATGATGCCTCAGGGCTGTACCAAAGAACTTTTAATTGAACTGAATCACATCATGATTAAACGCTCCCAGAATTTATTTTGGCAACCGGGTAGAGAAGAGCTGAGTAGAGCAGGGACAAGTCTAGACCTGGTTTAAACAGGACTTAAGATCACACACCGGAAGCTCTAGCTCTTGGATGTCAAACTCAAATATCAGAGGCCAAAAAAAACAAATTTGCTACAAGCCGAGGGCCGGACTGGTTTCATGTTTATCAAAATATATTCAAATAATTGCATATAACCTTTTGAATCAAGACCTAACACTTTATTTAATATTTTATTTAATGATTAAATGAATAATCCAATATTTTTGTATGGCTCTGTCAGTCATTTTAAGAAGACATTAAAAGAATATTTCTTGTGGCTTTGTGCGGCAGGATCTAATACTAATTAAATATCATCTCGAGGGCTAAGATTATTCATTTGCGGGCCGGATCTAGCCCCCGGGCCTTGACTTTGACACCCATGTTTTAGCTGCACCGAGAGCTAAACACATGTTTTGGGTTGTAATGATAGGTGGATAAAAACTTTATTGATCCCCGTAGGAGAAATGCAGGTGTCCAGTAGCAGCAAAAACATATCCATCCAAACAAACAAAACAAATAAATAGATCATTCTAAAAGTAGCTAACACTAGTAATAAAATGCAACAGTACTTCAGGTCACAGCAGCAGAAGAGGAGGAGCCGCTTGGTGCAACAGAATGTCAGAAGAAGGCTTTTATATTTATACATATTACCTATTTTTATTTACTAGAATTGGATCTGTTTGAGCACAGATGGCAGCATTGCAGGTGGCTATCGTCATCTTTTCTGTTGTGTTACAGATGTTACAGCCCTGGCACCAAGCAAACGTTTTTATTCCATACGTGCAATTGAGCCAGACATCTGAGTAAGGACACGCTCGCTGTGAACCGTGTTAAGACTTGTAAATCTAGACACTTTATGATTTAGCTCTGATTTCAGGGCAAATGGGAAAAGTCTGTGAAACTCTTATCTATGAATCCATCAAATACCATTAGAGCTAAAATCCTAAAAACATTCAAACAGCCTCTCTGCGACTGATGTAAGCTTTTGCATTCCAACGTTCTGCTTTAAAAATATGGATAAGTCCTTGTTCTGGATGAGTTTTGTGGAGTTTTGCGAAGTTTAGCCATTCGCCGCTTTAGTTCTGACCCAAGAGTAGTGAAGTTCCTCCGGTGAATGACTCTAGCAGCTGACGTTGCAGATGTGAGCTTTTGTCGTGGTGGAGAAATGTCGCCGACTCGTAAACGCCATTCTGAGAAACCGAATCTACTCTCTCTCTCCATTTTCCTGACGCACATGCCGCACACGGTTCATCTGCTGACCTTTGCAGGGTAAAGGATGGCGTATAAAAGGGGAACGGAAAAACAGACCAGGGGGGAATGGTTTAAAGTTTCCAAGATAAAGACTTTTCGATGCAGCTGTGAGTGAGACAAACTGCTTTTATATAGTTACTATTTCTATTTTTCGAATCTGAGGCAAAAAAAAATGTCCTCGCTTTTCAAAGAGTTCTCGCAAGTTTCACTCAAAATGTTTCGGCAAATTCAAATAAATTGTCGTGATGTGGACATTTTTGATTATTTTGACCTGGTTTTGTTTTACTATATTCTTGTTTTTCAGTTCGGGAATTTGATGCTTTTTGGCTTTTGATTTTATGAAATTACTTTCTATCTTCAGTCCTACATTTTGGGTTCCCCTTTTCTTCATTTCCCCACGTGACACATATTATGTATATTCTTCACATTTCACTGTTTGCTACTTAGAGAAATACTGTATTTACTGTTTATTATTTTGCCCATATCTTGGTGGGAGGATGAAAGTTTTAAAACTACTACAACTTGGATATTATTCTCCAGCATTTGTCTCCAAGTTTGACAACTGTAACGGCTCCTCACTGAGCTCTGCAAATAAGCTTTAAAACAGCTGCATTTCGAGAGCCAGATAGTACCATCTCATTAGTCCTGGTCTCAGGTCTCTGCACCTGTGGCTCAGAGAGTACATCTGAGACATGGACTCGGAAGAGCACAGGGACTAGCCTCCTGCTGGGACTCGGAAGAGATTTAGATTCAGATTCAGTTTATTTGCCATTTGCAGTAAAAACACCACATAGGAATACATCAGCAAAAGTCTCCAGTGTGCACAGACAAATACAGACATAAAACAACATTAAAAGACAGAAATAAAACAAATAAAACAGTAAACAAGTGTCACTGTGAAATCGATCGACTAAAACAGTTTCAAAACAAGTGCAAATCATTAAAGTGCTCTGTTCACACTGATAACAGCTTGTGGATAAAAACTGTTAGCGTAACGAGATGTCCTGCATCTCAGAGAGCGATATCTTCTGCCAGAGGGAAGAAGCTGGAACATGGCTTTCCCAGGGTGGCCAGAAGAGTACAGGGACTGGGCTCCTGCTGGGACTCGGAAGAGCACAGGGACTGGGCTCCTGCTGGGACTCAGAAGAGCACAGGGACTGCATGGGCTCCTGCTGGCCCCAGAGTCAGGACGAAACATGAAATCAGACTAAATGGCTTTGTCCCATCGGAGAATCTTGTTTTAACACGGTCAGAATGAACTCAGATTACAATAAAAACCACTCGATTCCAGCCATTATTACCTCATTTTAAATCATTTTTTGCATGTGAGCGTTTTAGATTCATGCAGCTAAAATCTGGAACAGTCTTCCTAAAAATGTGAGACAGGCTTCTTCTCTGATAAATCCAGGTTAAAACAGGTATGTTTCACTGTGCTACAACTGAGAAATTTCATCTTTTATCATTTGTTTTAAAGTACTTTGATTTTCTATTTTTTCAAGTCTTTTGTTTTCAATCTTTTGTTCAGTACTTTGAGTTGTATTCTGTTCTATACAAAAACACTTGCCTTGTCTCATAGTCCCCTCATTGCCTACACAAACCATGTTGCTGTTGTAAGTCAGAGATAACAACGGCATTTAAAAACCCTCTGGACAAAGTGCCGGGACAGACACAGTGTCGTAAATGTCCCAAGGTCAAGGTCCTGTCCTGTTAGCGCTGCTGCTCACTGACCCCGGCGCTAAACATACAGTGGACAGTCTGTGAGGGGGACTGGGGAGGGAGGTCATGGTGACGGTCTCTCCCCCCCCAGGCCTCAGAGGGAGCCAGTCCTCAGTGCCCAGACGCCTGCTGACCCCCATGGAGACAGACCCCCACCTCAGAAAGCCCCGGGCCGGTTTGAGTGATGTGCCATATGGACACAGTGTGCCATCCAGTCACCCCCCCCCTCTGCTGGGACAGACGTGCACTGCAAAAAGTAACAACAAATAAGTTAAAAGTGGCAAAAATTTGGCAAAATGCATCTTAATTTGAGCACATTATGACCGCGTTAAATCCAGATTTGCAAATACACTGGCAAAAAATACCAAATACAAGGTAATAATTGCTTGAATCAAGAGTTTTTATCTTAATTTGAGTATATTGTGACTATCTTAAAACAAGATTTGCCAATGGAACAAGCTGTTTTCTCTCATTTCAAGTGCTGTTTCAATTCATTTCTCAATCCAAAAAAGATCTTTGTTGATTTTCCATGTATCTTTTTTAAAACAATACATTTTTGCCTTGTCTCGTTGGCAAATCAATGCTCAATTTAAGATAAAAACACTTTAATCAAGCATTTATTGCCTTTTTGTTGTTGTGGTTTTTCTGCAGTGAGAGATTAAGAAAACTGATCTTGTTTTAAAAAGATACAAGAAATGTCTCCCTTGGAATGAGAAAATAAAATAATAATTCTTGAAATAACACTAAATGGATTTGTCTCATTGGAGAATCTTGTTTTAACACAGTCAGAATGTGTCAGATTAAGATAAAAACAGCTCGATTCAATCATTTATTGCCTAAAATTTGATCATTTTCTGCAGTGTGTGTGCGTGGGAGGCTGATCCGGCTCGAACACGGCTACACGCTGTCATTTAGTGCATTTCCCTAAGACAGGATTTCCCCCTTCACATTACACGCATATTCACAGATCCACATTCAGCTCTGGGATCAACTTTAAAACAGTTGACAAGATCCGGTTGTTCTCAGTGAAATTGGTGATGGAGTAATAATATATACCTCACTCTGCCAACTGCAGCCTCAGCAAAGATTAACGGAGAGGTTGGAATGTGCAGACCATTCGACCATGAGAACGTATAGAGTCTGGGAGTTGTTGGAGACTATATGGACCAACTCAGACTCAGCACAGGGACTGGGCTCCTGCTGGGACTTGGTGGAGCACAGGGACTGGTCTCCTGCTGGGACTTGGAGGTGCACTGGGACTGGTCTCCTCCTGGGACTCGGAGGAGCACAAGGACTGGTCTCCTGCTGGGACTTGGAGGTGCACTGGGACTGGTCTCCTGCTGGGACTCGGAGGAGCACAGGGCCTGGTCTCCTCCTGGGACTCGGAGGAGCACAAGGACTGGTCTCCTGCTCTCTAACAGAGGAGAAAAGGTACTGGGCTCCTCTGTGGGACTTGGAAGAGCACAAGGACTGGCTTCCTGCTGGGACTTGGAGAAGCACAGGGACCGACCATCTTCTGTGACACAGAGGAGCACAGGTTCAGGCCTCCTTCTGGTCCCAGAGTCAGGACTGAACATGGGGAGGCAGCGTTTCAGATGTGTACCGCTAAAATCTGGAGCAGTCTTCCTGAAAATCTGTTTATCTATGAATGAATGTAATCCATGCGTTATCAGTTGCTCCTTTGTGGCATTTCTCTAACTGTCTGCATCATGATGTTCTGTGCTTCACTGGTGACAACACTGAGACATGTTTATATGTAACCATTTATACATCAACGTCTTTCAAAACAGATTCCAATGTAAAGAATCGTGTGTCAAAGTAATTAGCGCTGATAATGAAGAGAGAGAGAAGACGTCGTCCCTCCTCATGGAGCGTGAAAGGCCTTAACATTAAAGACATGTGTAAGAGCCACGTGTTTGTGAAGAAGAAAGGCAGGTTCTGTGGAGAGATTAAACTGTAGGTGCTGAACTCAAATGTCCCAGAAAATAATAACCATAAACAAATTTACATTCGCCATTTGAGCGGATCCCTCTCTCAATGTGGGTCTCCCCGAGCTTTTTCACTTTTTCCCACTGCATTTTAGACTGTGGTGATGATCCAGGACACTCAACATTCATGGACATTGGTTAAGCCCAATACCATGTGTTCTGTATTCCTTGTGTTTGAACTGTTAAATTCTCTGATCTGCTGTTGGCGATTTTCAAAGGTTTCGTAAAGTCCTCTGAGATAACAACTGTTGGGATTTAGGGCGAGACAGGAATACATTGAATTGATTCTATGTGTGTCTCATGGAACCAACAGTTTGTGATTCGCAACATATATGAATGAGGCCATGATTATAGATTCAATTGAACGTAATTTTGTATCACCCTAAATCATAACAGTGGTTATCTCGGAGAACTTTACAAAGTGGCCGAAACAGATCAGAGAATCAAACAGTTCAAACTCAGGAAATGCAATGATAATAAACATATAGTCATCGGTCCATAAGGAGCAGAGTTCATAAATGTTGATAAATGTCCATAACTACTGTATTGAGACATCCTGCATCGACAAGGAACAACTCACTCAAACTCTATATTGACAATATATTTACAATTTTGGAGAAAAAGAGCGCAAACTTTGGCTATACAATCAGATAAATTAGAAATAAAACAACATTAAACTTGACTCGACCTGCTCACCGCTCCATAACACGGCTCATTTCCAAACCAAACTGAGAAGCTCAAGAACAAGATCAAGAGTTTAGATTTGCTGATTTCATTTCCATAATTCCTCGTCCACTTCATTATGCTCCGGTCCAAAAGCTTATCATCCAGGTTTCTCCGAAGAACTCAACACGATCATTCCACAGAGTCAGAAGCCTCACATCCAGAGCCAGAGTCCAACACACGTGCCTTCAGTTATTAGCATTCTCTTTCATCTGCTGCTTTGAGAGCCATGTTGGATTATGGCTCTTTCAACAGACACTGGACACAACTCTCTGGTCCATTTTTTCCGTGAAGAGGCAAAACTGCGAGGACTACGGCCATGTCCAGATGAAGACAAAAGGGTGTATAGCTTTGGAGCCGTGTTACGTGAAGACGGAAACGGTTCTGTAAATGTGTCCACCCACACAAAGCTGAGGACAAGGCAGCAGCCCCTCACTGCCAGGGAGTTGCTTTGATCCTGCACCGCACCTGTCCTCGTTCTACAATCTGAGTCCTTTGCTGCATGGCCCTGGTCCTCGTTCTACAGTCTAAGTCCTGGATCTATAGCCCGTCCGTGCGTATGGAGTGGATCCGACTTTCAATGTGGTTCTCCCCGAGGTTTCTCACTTTTCTTCCACTGGGTTTCCGTTTAATACGTAAAAGACAGAAAATAAATAACAAACCAAAGAGTAAATGACTTTTCTCTTTCAACAAAGGACACAGTGAAATACAGTATGTCCACCTGAACTGTGATTAATACTCCTTTATGTGGACCATGTCTGGGGTTATAAAAACAAAATAACTGAAACACTGTTGTTATCTGGCCAGGGCCTAATAATGTGTGTTTCATACCTGTAGAGAAGGTGCACTTTAATGATCCATCCATCCTTGCATTTGACCCATCCTGATCCTGCTAAGGCTTACGTCAGGAGCAGTGTTCGCCAAAGTACAGCGCCTAGGAAACCTCGGCTTGGTCAGGACTACCAGAGCTGGAGGATTTAACCTAGTGTGCATGTTTTTAGTGATAGGGGAAACCAGAGTGCCCAGAGGAAACCTACGCAAGCACGGGGAGAACATGACATGCAAACTCCACCCAGAAAGACCCCATTCCGGCCTGGATTCGAACTCAGAACCTTCTTGCTGAGAGGCGAGAATGCTATCCACTCAGCCACCGTGCCGCCCTAGTAACTACATGCAAGCTTCTAAGATGTGACAAGGTTAGGATTTCACATTTAGGCTCCGGCCCGAGCACCCCTTGAGGCCGTTCTCTTTCTGCGCAGGAGCAGGAGGTAATCAGAGGGGTCGTCCTGAAACATTTTTTGATTACAGAGATGACAAACTTTTCAGAAACTTATGGTTGTGCAATACATGTTTTACACAAACACAAGGAAACTGTCACGCCTCTGTCTGTGACTCTGCTCCCTGCTCTCCTGCCCCTCCCTTCCCTCTGTGTGAGGGCAGGGGTGGGGCCTGCTGTACACACCTGGAGGCAATGATCTGCAGACTACAAGAACCCAGCTCTACAGCCTGTTGGTGCCAGATTGATTCGTCTGCTGAGTCGTGAATACTCACGTTTGCGCTACCTGCTGTGTTGTTTTTGATTGTTCGCACTTACCTTGTTTTTTGTTCTTTGGCAGTTCCTGGGTTCTTGTTTGGTTTTTTGTCTGCTACTTCAAGTTCATCTCCAGCTTTGTCTCCCACTCCCAAATAAATGTGTTATTTTTAATTTTTCGCTTGAGTCACTTTTTGGGTCCCCCTTTGGGGCCGTAACAGAAACGTGCTGAAGAAAACAAGAACAAAACAAGATAGAAATGACCACACAAGGCATAGAAAATCATTGCATTAAAAAAGGAGTGATTCTGAAAGTTTAGTCCTAACTCAGAGTCAGCAGGAGGCCAGTCCCTGTGCTCCTCCCAGTCCCAGCAGGTGGCCTGTCCCTGTGCTCCGCCCAGTCCCAGCAGGTGGCCAGTCCCTGTGCTCCCCCCAGTCCCAGCAGGTGACCAGTCCCTGTGCTCCCCCCAGTCCCAGCAGGTGGCCTGTCCCTGTACTCCTCCCAGTCCCAGCATGTGGCCAGTCCCTGTGCTCCTCCCAGTCCCAGCAGGTGGCCAGTCCCTGTACTCCTCCCAGTCCCAGCAGGTGGCCAGTCCCTGTGCTCCTCCCAGTCCCAGCAGGTGGCCAGTCCCTGTGCTCCTCCCAGTCCCAGCAGGTGGCCAGTCCCTGTGCTCCTCCCAGTCCCAGCAGGTGGCCAGTCCCTGTGCTCCTCCCAGTCCCAGCAGGTGACCAGTCCCTGTGCTCCCCCCAGTCCCAGCAGGTGGCCTGTCCCTGTACTCCTCCCAGTCCCAGCATGTGGCCAGTCCCTGTGCTCCTCCCAGTCCCAGCAGGTGGCCAGTCCCTGTACTCCTCCCAGTCCCAGCAGGTGGCCAGTCCCTGTGCTCCTCCCAGTCCCAGCAGGTGGCCAGTCCCTGTGCTCCTCCCAGTCCCAGCAGGTGGCCTGTCCCTGTGCTCCTCAGAGTCTGAGTTGGTTCAGACGGCACTAAAATGTCTTGAAGTTGTGTATATGAATGTATAATGTATGAAATAAAATAATAATAATAATAACTTTTATTTATATTGCACCTTACATTTTTATGAAGTGCCACAGATTAAATTACAAAACCACAAACAACAAAACAAAGCAAAATAATCAAAAGTACACAAATACATCCAAAAGAACATGGAGGGGTTCAAAGCTAAAAATAACATAAATCCATAAAATAAAAGCCTGGTTTTAAGAGAGTTGTAAGAAACACAGACATAGGACCATATCTTTCTCGTGGTCCGCACCTGCAGTGGATCAAGAGCTGGATCCAAACAAATTGAAGCATCGTGACCGTTTGAACATAAACCGCAGGAGGCGCATCAGCTCACGGAGATCACTACCAGCTGACAAGTCAAACACACCGCACTTTCCCTTAAGTGGGATTTCTACTGATTTATTTAGACCCGATAACAAGAATCGTAAAGCCATTCTGAGCCGCCACGCCTTCCACCTCCCCAGCCGCCTCCATCACCTCCAGAACAGAGCACGAAGAGCAGTGGAAACATTTCTCGGCCGTAAATCTCCGTGCCCAAAGCATTTTTTCATATCTTTCTTTGGTGCAGATTTGTTTGAAGGGAAACGTCTGGAAGTCCTGACAGAAGACAGATGGATGAAGCAATGCTAATGGTTTTTATGAGCCCTAATTTGCTAACATAATGCCGCGATGTCAGATGCTGGGATTGAACACACTCTTTTCATATCACTGTTGTATTTATTCATCATCCCATCTGGTCATTTCGAGGTCAAACATTTCTTCCTCTTATCATCAACGAAAGAAGAGGTTTTTGATGGCGGGGAACGTTGGAAGACATTAAACAGCATGTGAACAGATATGTACAAGCTAATAATCCCAAACACTATCGCGTTTCAAAGTGGCTAATCCAACTTTCAGATGACGGGGAATTGAACATGCTGTCAAATTGGAATCAGCAGAAAGACTTTGTTGTTACAATTCTCAAGGTTTTTCTCACAAACAGCTGCTGCACACAGCCTGTGATCTTCTGATTAGCAATGGAAACGCTCATTCTCCAAGAGTTCAAGAGTGTAAAGTGTGATAAACTGTGTTAAACTTCATAAAGTGTGATGTGTGACTTTTCAGGTGGAGGCTCTGCACCTGTTTGTCCAGAACCATCTGACTGAAGCTGCCTCCTGGTGTTTGCAGCACTTTGTTTGTACTTAAATGAATCCTGTGATATTATTTTCATGCGATGGTTATGGATCTGTTTCACTGCAGTCTGAACATCGACCACTGCTCCTGACAGGTCAAAGGAGGGATCCGATGGAAATGACTTTTTCCTACGTACCTTTACCGCACCTTGACACTAGGACTCCCAGAAATCTGGAACTAAAAGAACTCCCAGAGCAGTCATTTTGACAGCTGCCACTAAAATCAATGGAATTGTAGAAAATTACATAAAGCAGTTTTAGTTTTTCATGTCTTTTACAAAAAAAAACTAAATCTAAAACAGTCTAAAACTGGTGAAAATAAAGTGAAAAACGGCTGTAACCGTTTGTTGAATGGCTAATGCTAACTGGTGTCAAGTAAATGGTGAGTTGCTATGGTAACTAGCTTTTAAGATTGCGCTGAACTAGTCGCACCACACCATAGTACAAATTATATTTCGTACTAAGGTCTGGAGGTGCTCCATTGAGCTCCGTTTACAGATAGGAGGGGTTAACTCCTTTTGCAGATTGAAACAATTGGATCTGAGTTTACCGTCACGTAATGCGCCCGAGTGAGTTGTTAGCATTTAGCCTAGCCATCTCCTTTGCCGCTAACGGAGCCCCTGGGGAGTAGCGCCACAATCTTTGCAGCGATTACATTTGCTAAACATTACCCTTGCTCCGGCTTCAATTTCTTGATAGAACCAGATCGGATTACTTTACTATCGCATTCTTCACCACTGCAAAACTACAACCTGCCCGTTCGGCGCAAACCCTTGACGTCACCCACAACTACAACAGCCGCCTCCCGCGCTCTCTGATTGGTCGGATGGAATTCGACCAATGTAATCGCAAACACAGGGACCAGACCCAAACGTTACATGCAGGAAATGATAAATGAGCGGAGTGTAAGGATGGATAAAGCCAGGCTAGCTCTGAACCAGTCCAGCACCTTTAGAAAAGTTACTTTACTGCCATGGCATGTTGGTTGCCAAGCGACCAAAAATTTTAATTTTAATTTTGGGAAGTTCTAGGTCAAACTACTCACATTTTAAAAAACAAAAGATTATTTCTCATAAATAATGACATAGAAATAAACTACATACAGATACAGAAAAAGTCACGCAGTTATGAAGACCAAAAGGGCTGAGTAACAACACTACCCAAACGTCAAACCGTCAAAACGACTGCTCTGGGAGTTCATGTGTTGACCTTTACGACTGCTTTAATGTTGACATGAAATACATACGTGGTAAAACTTCTATATAATATGCAATGGTCTCAACAACATGGATTCCTCCCGACTTCTCTTTGCAAACGTCTGACACTGTTAATAAGTGCAGGAGTGTGAGGTGGAGCTGCAGAGGTGGGACAGGGCAGCTGCGGCTACAAACACACAGTAACATGAAACAGTTCCAGCCTCCAGCCCAGGTCATGGAGCCGGAGAAGGTGTTAAACAGGTGCAGACGGAGACGGACCCGGAGACATGATGGGGAAACAAAGACACATACAAGTGGACAAGCCTTCACCCTCTGGACCCGAGCTGGACCCGAGCTGGACCACGGGGCCATAAATTACCAGTGGTTATGGCCCCGGACACATGTTGGCACGCACTTCAAACGCGCCGCTCGGCTGTTAGCTGCACATTTGGCGTGGAGTGCGGCAGGTTGGGATCCAGCTGCTCCTTCAGGCTCCACATCTGGCTGGCAGCGTCTTGGCTCAGATTGAGACTTGGTGTCTCCTGAAGTTTTCTCGTGACATCTTTATGAACACTTGCTGTTACCCATCTCGGCACCCAGCGACTTTCTGGCCTGTTGCCCTGTAATAAACCTCAGCATTGACACCGCGCTCGCCGGGTTTCCCATCCATCGCTCTGCCGCCGCGGGGAGACCCTAACAGGAAACATCTGACTCACTTTCTCTGCTCACGTTTGGATTCGGTCAAATCTGATGAGTCTATTATTTTATTCACAGATGTAGAAATGAAAAAAAAAAACATGTGGAAATATTTATCATCAAGCTTAAATATGCAGGGGTGTGCAAAGGTTTGGACACCCCTTAACATTTGTTTGATTTTCCTTTATCAATAATAATAATAATAATAATAATGCATCGGTTTTATATACTCAAAGACGCTTCACAGGTTATTATTCAGATCGTTGGTTGTTTGGGTCAGAAATGTCAGTTCGATTTTTCCGAAGGAGAAAAAAAACACAGTGATGTCGGAGAAGGTGCAATGTTACAGAAAGTGAAAGAATTATTTAAACCAAATTAGACTTAAGTGCATAACATCAGACCTGTGATGATTTGTTTACCTTTAGCACTAATCCATGGGTTTGAACCTCACACACTGGCGACTTCAGTCCTGAGAAAGGGGATTTTAGCTCAATTCTGTGTTTTGCCTTTTTGTATATTCTCTGAAGAGCGGCATTATGGGAGCCTCAAAACAACTCTCTAATTGGAAGCGTCTAGAGGCTGTTACTTCTGAAAAAAACTTATTTTTCTGTTGTGGTGCCAAAATGTATGCAAACAGCTGATTTGGTTTACATAATTCTTGCACTTTCTGTGAATGATACAAACATTCTTTCACTTCTCAAACATCACTGTGTTTGTGTTCTGTGAGATAATATTTAACTTATCAAAACAACCATATATAGAGAATTAAAAACGTTGAAAAGGGCCCCAACAGGTTTGAATTGGTTTGAAAGCAGATTGTTACATATATCAGAGTTGTATCAGCGTTAGGACGCGTAAAGAGAAGCCTTGAGCAACACGTATCAATGTTGACTTCATCTATGTAATATCTAGAGTGGATATGTGTTGAGTCATTTCCTCATTCGTGGCAGTCGGTTTCAGACGGCTGCCCGGTGGTATTGGTATCAGTTCTGTTATTCATTGTAATTGTGCATATTTACTAATGACTAAACTCACACTTTGATAGTTTTATAGCTCTGGGTTGTTTACATTATTTTTCCTCTCGGTCAGTGCATTTACTTTATTCAATGCTGTCGTCATTTTTTGAAAGTATTATTTTCCCATTTAGTCCTTGTCAACAGGTTTAATTCATCGTTATCTGGACTCGAGCTGAGAGACAGTGACACATCTTTGTACTTTGCACCACACGCTGCAGACTTTTGTGTCGAACAAGGCTTGAAGTTTCAGAATCAAATCACAATTATAACAGTTTTTTGTATTTACACTTTTTTTCTAGTTTTCCTTACAATTTCATATACTTTACTCCTACTGTTATCCTTAAAATGCATCAAACAAGTCAACTGAGATGTTTTTACCCACAGGGACTAGCCTCCTGCTGCGACTCTGAGGAGCACAGGGACTGGCCTCCTGCTGGGCCTCTGAGGAGCACAGGGACTGGCCTCCTGCTGGGCCTCTGAGGAGCACAGGGACTGGCCTCCTGCTGGTCCCAGAGTCAGAACTAAAATTGGTGACGCATTTCAGATTTCTTCCTGAAAACATGAGACAGGCTTCTTCTCTTGCCTTGTTTATGAACTGTGCTATACAAATAAATGTGCCTTGCCTGTTTACCTCTGCAGCAGCATTATATCCCACCTCCGTAGTCTATAGAATGAGCCGTTTCACATCTCCGTGGCGTGAGCACAGGGACAGTCTGCACACCTTGTCTACATTACCCCAACAGCCCTTTCATGTTCCTTTCTATCAATGAACCCATCTCAATCCTTCTGATTTACAGCTTGGCCTGGAAGTGTCCCTGGACCCTCCACCCACCCCTCTTACTTTTTCCCTTTCTTGTTCGGATCCGAATGGGAGTGAAATAAAACCTTTTTTTTGTGTGTGTGGAAAGTCTGACCCGGAGACCCTCCCTCTGCTGTTCCGCATCTCGCCGAGGCCTGGGAAGCGAGCGTCGAACAGGTGCGAGCGAGAACCTCAGAGCTGCTACATAAATTACACGGCACACCACACCGCACCGCGCCGTCGCTGTGTTAATCTGCCAAAGGTTTTGAAACGCTCGGACAGAAACGTTCAGCTGAGGTTTGAGAGGGAGAGGACCGGAGGAAACTGCAGATACCTTCAAAGACGTCGGTGACCCGTGGAGCAGCGTCCACACGGCGTTGGATCAGATTCACTCCCACTTTCTCACTCACTCTCAGACCTGTGTGACCACGAGATGAGATAAGATCAAACTGTATTGATCTCTCTGTGGAGAAATGTGCACGTCCTGCTGCTGTCAGACTGTACAATGAGAACTGCTGAGCCTGCAAATGTCATTAATCTGTTCTTAAGTAAATAGTGCAATGTAATGTGCAATACTACAACTTCAGAATTGCCACTGAATGTCACTTTATCTACTTATTATACTGCCCTATGTGTACAGCAGGGACGTCAAAACTCAGGCGAGGCTAATCTGACCCGCAAGAGCATTTTTAGTGTTTCCTGAAGTGCTTTTCCATTATCATTATTACTGTAGTTTGCAGCATTGATGGTAATGAGATACTATGGCATGGTATTCTTTTTTCAGGAAAACAACCATATCATTGAACCTGTTCAAAAATCTAATTAGGAGTAAAGTTTTTTTGTTATGCATCTTTCAATCTATATATTTTTGTATTTGGCCCAGTTTTGATTGAATCCAAACCTACTCGAAAACAATATCCAAACTCATGTCAACTAAAAGAAATTTGTTAAAATGCAAAAATATGTAAAAACCAAAAATAACAAAAAAACTTCTAACCACTTTTACACTTTTGGCCCCAACCCGCTTTATGTTTTTGAACTTGGCCCCCGACCAAAATGAGTCGGACACCACTGATGTACAGTATAAAACTTTGCACTATGTATGTATAGATATGGATAGAGATATATGGATATTGAAGCGTTTACAGCTAGCTAAGAAAACCAGCAGCTACTTATTTTGTATATTTTGTGTACTGTTTTGTGTACTGTCTTACTGTACTTACTGTCCTGTATGTGCGCTGCAACATTGAAATTTCCCCACTGTGGGACCAATAAAGTATCTCTTATCTTATGTTACATTTGGCTTCGATAGGATCCCCCAGGGTGTGCGAAAAGACAGGAAATGTGCAAAAATGTGAAAATGTGAGAACGATATGTGGGATCTTAGGGACTATTAAAAAGTGACGATGGCAGCGCAAGTTTCAGCCATAGGTCAGGTCGATATCAAGTGACAAACACCAATAGATTTATATTTAACAAACACATTTTTTCTTTTTTTAATGTACATAATATCTCCTGAAAATACTATATTTTTTGCCTTTCGGATGTTTGCACACTTCTGCCTTTTGCACAAATCTGAGTGACATGTACATTTCCAGTCTAGCTTATCATCCTCTGTGTTGTCTGATAAGATCTATTTACTAAAAATAACATAAATTATGATTATTTTTAATTGGCGAGTTGTTTTTTGCTTGAATGTAGTTTGTCATGAGATAATTTTACTAGTTTTAAAATATTTCCTAATCTTATCAGAGAAAAAAGTCTGAGCAGTGAGTTTTGAAGCTTGTTTTAGTTTTCTTGTTAAGATAAAATTAGAATGTTCTGCTATATTCTAAGAAAACCTTTCTCAAAAATGATTAAGAAATAAGTAAATAATACTTTAAATGTATGTTTTTTATACGAGAATCATTTATTTATTTATTTTAGAAATCTTATCAAGTCATAATTCCTTATTCTATTGGCCGATCATTTTTCCTTTTTCTAAGCAGTATTTTACCTATTGTCATATATTTTTTTCTTTTAATTTTCAAGGAATTATTTTCAGCGTAGACCTTGATGGTGGTGGAAGTGTTGAGCTGAAGATACAAAGACATATCGCACTCTTGAGGTGGGAGGAGGAGGGTTGCAGAACAAGCCTGTTCAGATGCACAGATGTGGATTTGTTAATGGTGTGGGAGATGGAATCAGGTGAGATCTTCATGAAAGCAGATTTAGACAAAGAGATCCTTTACTCGTCCAACAGAATCAGAATTATTTTTGTTTCTGTGTGAGTAACAAGACGTCACAAACTAGGAAATGGCTTTTGCTCTCGGTGCAAACAAGGTAAACGTAAAATAAAGGCATGAAACTAAAATCTACATCACATTTCTTAAAAATGCTACAATATACAAGCAGTGAGAGGGGAAGAAATACAGGGGATAAATGTCAGTGTTGCACCAGTTACAGAACAGTCCTACGGAGGAGCAAATGAAAAGTGAACAGTAACTCTATAAACAATAAAATAAAATCTCTAACTTTAGCGTTAGCATAACAGTATAATACATTGTACCATGTTTCTCTTCCAGGCTGCACTCAAAGAGAGAAGCTTTTATGTGACTTCTTTATTTTCAATACATTTAAGTGACTGCAGATTTCACTTCACCTTCACCATCTTCATCCACATCATTGTCATCTTCATCATCATCATTATTTTGCTGATTCAAAAAAAAAAAACAGTTATCTATTAATGTTTCATATTTCACCACAATGATATATTAATTATCTTATCATCCCACTGCATGTTTGTTTTTTTTCTTTTCTGTATTATTACTATGACTGTGCAACACAAATAAATTGTTGTAGCACAGCTAAACAGAACTGTTTTAACCTGGATTTGAGCATTAAGAAGAAGCCTGTCTCACATTTTAGGAAGACTGTTCCAGATGTTAGCTGCATAATATTAAACATAGCCTCCTGCATGTTTAGTTCTGTTTATCAGGAGGCCAGTCCCTGTGCTCCTCCGAGTTCCAGCAGAAGGCCAGTCCCTGTGCTCCTCAGAGTCCCAGCAGGAGGCCGGTCCCTGTGCTCCTCAGAGTCCCAGCAGGAGGCCGGTCCCTGTGCTCCTCAGAGTCCCAGCAGGAGGCCAGTCCCTGTGCTCCTCAGAGTCCCAGCAGGAGGCCAGTCCCTGTGCTCCTCAGAGTCCCAGCAGGAGGCCGGTCCCTGTGCTCCTCAGAGTCCCAGCAGGAGGCCGGTCCCTGTGCTCCTCAGAGTCCCAGCAGGAGGCCGGTCCCTGTGCTCCTCAGAGTCCCAGCAGGAGGCCGGTCCCTGTGCTCCTCAGAGTCCCAGCAGGAGGCCGGTCCATGTGCTCCTCAGAGTTGGTTCATATGGCACTAACATGTCACAGATGTACTTTAAAACAGAGCTGCTTTAAAGTCTATTCTCTGAACCACATGAAGTCAGTGCAATCTCCTTTTGTTCTCTTCAGGCCTCCGTCCCAGCAGGCCTCATGTGACCCCCCCCCGTCACAGCCCTGTAGCCCCCCCCCCCCCCTCCTCTCCGCTGCCTGTGACTGGGGGAGAGCAGGACAGGGGGAAATTGGTGTAATGAATTTAGGGCCGTGGCGCTCGCTGGGCCGAGCCTCCCCTGGCGGATCACGGCCATTAATCTTCCACACTGTGTCAGAGCAAAATGTGCCCACAAAAGGCAGAGGGGGAGCTCAAAGTGACGAACAATTACGCGGCTGTGAATAAAGGATGTGGGGAGAGGAGGGAAGAGGAGAGGAGGGAGGAGGGAGGAGGAGAGGAGGAGAGGAGGGAGGAGGAGAGGAGGGAGGGCATGGTATGGTTCAGCGATGGTTTGATTTGAGGCTGGGACCAGGTAGAGGAATGTAGCCTGAGATAGAGGTGTCTGCATGGGCGATCAGAGGAGAGGGAGAGGGATGGAGGGGGAGAGAGAGAGAGATGGAGGAAAAAGGTATAGAGATGGAGGGATAGAGAGATGGGCGATCAGAGGAGAGACAGATGGGCAACAGGGGAGGGAGAGAGAGATGGTGGGACAGAGAGATGGGGCGATCAGGGGAGAGAGAGAGCGATCAGAGAAGAGAGAGAGATAGGCAATCAGAAGAGAGAGAGATGGGCGATCAGAGGAGAGAGAGAGAGAGAAAGAGAGAGAGATGGGCGATCAGAGGAGAGAGAGAGAGAGAAAGAGAGAGAGATGGGCGATCAGAGGAGAGACAGATGGGCAACAGGGGAGGGAGAGAGAGATGGTGGGACAGAGAGATGGGCGATCAGGGGAGAGAGAGAGCGATCAGAGAAGAGAGAGAGATAGGCAATCAGAAGAGAGAGAGATGGGCGATCAGAGGAGAGAGAGAGAGAGAAAGAGAGAGAGATGGGTGATCAGAGGAGAGAGAGAGAGAAAGAGAGAGAGATGGGTGATCAGAGGAGAGAGAGAGAGAGAGAAAGAGAGAGAGATAGGCAATCAGAAAAGAGAGAGAGAGAGAGATGGGCAAAAAATACTGCACTTTATTCATCCATACATTGCTATGAATCCTGTGTCTGCACGAGTCTTAATAAAGTCTAAATAAAATTATAATTAATTAAAATTGCACCTAACCAGATTAAAACACAATATAAAAAACAGACAACATTAAAATTACATACATATTTTACTATAATAATATATTTCTTGTTCTTCTCAACTTTTTAGATCAAAGTTCCTACTGTTTATTTTTGTGGAGGATTCTCTGGGATTAAAACAAAGCATCGGATTATGTTTCTACTTTTTCTTTTAAATCAAATAATATATTCCTATTATCATATGTTTGAGTCGAATTGGGCCGAGACCAGAGCGAGGATCAAGGCTAAAAATTATAAAGTTTAGGTGAACTCTAAAGGTTCTAATATTAATGACAAGTGTGTGGTGTTGGTAGGTTTCTATCACATTCACATTCACAATGTATTATGCTAAAGTTAGAGATTGTATTTTATTTTAGCATATTGTTCATTTATCTTGTGCTGTGTGCTTTTCTGTAACTGATGATGCCACACTGAGAAAAAAGAATAATCATTAAAGAACAAATAAACCATGGACTAAAACACTTTTTATCCCTAATTTTCACTCTTTTAAATGTCACTGCTTAATGAGCTGTGTGTGTGTGTGTGTGTGTGTGTTTGTGCATGTACTGTATGTGTTTGTTTGTGTGTGGGTGTGCGTGTGTATTTTGACAACTGTGCAACTGTCTAACTCTAGTGACATCTTGTGGTAGATTTTAATTTGACTGGCACCAAAACAAAAGGTAAAATGAACTGTGAATAAAAAATAAAAAAATTCCAGTTGAAATGTCCTCCTTCTTCGCTCCATCAGATTCATCAACGAGTCGCTCAATGCCCCGGAAGAGAAATAATGACATAAAATATTTATTTTATCATTTGTTTGGCTATTTTAGGGGGTAATACTGGACTCAGAGTTAAATTTTAATAGCCACATCAAATCAGTAACATCAGCAGCTTTTTACCATCTAAAAAACATTGCCAGGATCAAAAACATAGTGTCTAAAGCAGACTTGGAGATTCTTATCCATGCATTTGTCTCCAGTAGGTTAGACTACTGCAATGGCCTGCTCACAGGTCTGTCCAAACAGGCTGTGAAACAGCTGCAGTACATTCAAAATGCAGCAGCTTGAGTCCTGACTAGAACCAGGAAGTACGACCACATTAGTCCAGTCCTCAGGTCTCTGCACTGGCTTCCTGTGGCTCAGAAAATAGACTTTAAAACAGCTCTGCTTGTTACAAGTCTCTCCATGGCCTCGCACCAAAATATATTAGTGACATGTTAGTCCCATATGAACCAGCCCGGACTCTGAGGAGCACAGGGACTGGACTCCTGTTAGTGCCCAGAGTCAGGACTAAACATGGGGAGGCTGCTTTTCAGATTCAAGCTGCTAAAATCTGGAACAGTCTTCCTGAAGATGTGAGACAGGCCTCCTCAATGACAATGTTTAAAACCAGGTTAAAAACAGTTCTGTTTAGCTGTGCATACAACTGAGGGATTTTATATTTTTATCTTTCTTTTTAATGTTCTGTGATTATTTGTGATTTTAATGCTTTCTTATTTTTGTTCATCACTTTGAACTGCCTTGTGTATGAATTGTGCTATATTAATAAACTTGCCTTGCCTTGCCTATTTTTTTTGGAAGAGTCAAAAACATTGTGTTCAGAAAAAAAGAATCCCTCTCCTGAATCTTGATGTATCACTATTACTTTGGAATTGTATTAAGCTTTAAACTAGGGGTCAGAAAAAATCAGTCCTGTTCAGTATCGCGATACTTTGTTCATTCAATTACAATGATACATATATTTTATCTATTTACTTTAATAATTATGTGTTTCACTCTAGTGTTTTTTCTGAGTTTCCTTTGTTTCTATCCGAGGTTTCTGTGACTATGATGTCTGCTGTTGTGACTCTATGATGTCTGCTTGTTCTGACTCTATGATGTCTGCTTGTTGTGACTCTATGATATCTGCTTATTCTGACTCTATGAATTCTGCTTGTTGTGACTCTGTGATGTCTGCTTGTTGTGACTCTATGATGTCTGCTTGTTGTGACTCTATGATGTCTGCTTGTTGTGAGTCTGTGACGTCTGCTTGTTGTGACTCTATGATGTCTGCTTGTTGTGACTCTATGATGTCTGCTTGTTGTGACTCTATGACGTCTGCTTGTTGTGACTCTAGGATGTCTGCTTGTTGTGACTCTATGATGTCTGCTTGTTGTGACTCCGTGATGTCTGCTTGTTGTGACTCTATGATGTCTGTTTGTTGTGACTCTATGATGTCTGCTTGTTGTGACTCTGTGATGTCTGCTTGTTGTGACTCTATGATGTCTGCTTGTTGTGAGTCTGTGACGTCTGCTTGTTGTGACTCTATGATGTCTGCTTGTTGTGACTCTATGATGTCTGCTTGTTGTGACTCTATGACGTCTGCTTGTTGTGACTCTATGATGTCTGCTTGTTGTGACTCTATGATGTCTGCTTGTTGTGACTCCGTGATGTCTGCTTGTTGTGACTCTATGATGTCTGTTTGTTGTGACTCTATGATGTCTGCTTGTTGTGACTCTGTGATGTCTGCTTGTTGTGACTCTATGATGTCTGCTTGTTGTGACTCTATGACGTCTGCTTGTTGTGACTCTATGATGTCTGCTTGTTGTGACTCTATGATGTCTGCTTGTTGTGACTCTATGATGTCTGCTTGTTGTGACTCTGTGATGTCTGCTTGTTGTGACTCTATGATGTCTGCTTGTTGTGACTCTGTGAGGTCTGATTGTTGTGACTCTATGACGTCTGCTTTATGTGACTCTATGACGTCTGCTTGTTGTGACTCTATGATGTCTGGTTTATGTGACTCTATGACGTCTGCTTGTTGTGACTCTATGATGTCTGCTTTATGTGACTCTATGATGTCTGCTTGTTGTGACTCTGTGATGTCTGCTTGTTGTGACTCTATGACGTCTGCTTGTTGTGACTCTATGATGTCTGCTTGTTGTGACTCTATGAGGTCTGCTTATTGTGACTCTATGAGGTCTGCTTGTTGTGACTCTATGACGTCTGCTTGTTGTGACTCTATGATGTCTGCTTGTTGTGACTCTATGACATCTGCTTGTTGTGACTCTGATGTCTGCTTGTTGTGACTCTATGATGTCTGCTTGTTGTGACTCTATGAGGTCTGCTTGTTGTGACTCTATGAGGTCTGCTTGTTGTGACTCTATGACGTCTGCTTTATGTGACTCTATGATGTCTGCTTTATGTGACTCTATGACGTCTGCTTGTTGTGACTCTATGACGTCTGCTTGTTGTGACTCTATGATGTCTGCTTTATGTGACTCTGACGTCTGCTTTTTGTGACTCTATGATATCTGCTTGTTGTGACTCTATGACGTCTGCTTGTTGTGACTCTATGATGTCTGCTTGTTGTGACTCTATGATGTCTGCTTGTTGTGACTCTATGACGTCTGCTTGTTGTGACTCTATGATGTCTGCTTGTTGTGACTCTATGACATCTGCTTGTTGTGACTCTGATGTCTGCTTGTTGTGACTCTATGATGTCTGCTTGTTGTGACTCTATGAGGTCTGCTTGTTGTGACTCTATGAGGTCTGCTTGTTGTGACTCTATGACGTCTGCTTTATGTGACTCTATGATGTCTGCTTTATGTGACTCTATGACGTCTGCTTGTTGTGACTCTATGACGTCTGCTTGTTGTGACTCTATGATGTCTGCTTTATGTGACTCTGACGTCTGCTTGTTGTGACTCTATGATGTCTGCTTTATGTGACTCTGACGTCTGCTTGTTGTGACTCTGTGATGTCTGCTTGTTATGACTCTATGACGTCTGCTTGTTGTGACTCTATGATGTCTGCTTGCTGTGACTCTGTGAGATTTCATAACACTTTTAAGCAACTTTTGTTAAAGTTAAACTCATCAATCTATCAATGTGCAGAAGCCAGTACTTTTCCCTTGTTTTGTCTATCTGAAGGCCAAGCTACATGGCACTGTGGCAGCTGCTGATTGGAGGTCTCCATGCCTCCGCTCTGTATAATACACTTGCATTCTATTGTTTCTGTGATCGTGTGCTTTGTTCGTGCTGTCTCTACCATCGACAATAAAACATGTCTTCTGTCTGAATGTAAGACGCGATCCCAGACTATGTCATCTTCTTCAACTCTATGACATCTGCTTGTTGTGACTCTATGATGTCTGCTTGTTGTGACTCTGTGATGTCTGCTTGTTGTGACTCTATGATGTCTGCTTGTTGTGACTCTATGACATCTGCTTGTTGTGACTCTATGATGTCTGCTTGTTGTGACTCTGTGATGTCTGCTTGTTATGACTCTATGACGTCTGCTTGTTGTGACTCTATGATGT